ACTTTTCTTAAATTATATTTGAGGAATATTAGTTGATTTAAAGTATAATTAATCTGATTTAAATGGACTTTTAAAACAAACAGTAGCGACAATAAGCGACAAGTACTGGAAGGAATTGACATACTTATTTGTTGTTCTACGGGAACTTTATCCGTAAAAGAAAAACGCCTTTTTTTAATAAAATGATTAGATATTAGACAGAAAACGTAAAAAAGAAAATATCTAAAAATTCAATATTTGTCCTAAAGATTAATTTAAACAAATTTTGGAAAAGTAATGCTTACTTTTTCTCTAAAACATAATGAAAATAACGTTTATTTACGCACGGTAACCCATGAGGTCAGTCAACTTCAACAACTAACATATTTAAATTAATTAAAAAAAAAAAAAAAAAAAAAGTGTGCGAAAAAAAAAAAAATAAATAAATAAATAAATAAAATAAAATAAAATAAAATAAATGAAATAGGAAGACCAGCAGTGCAATAATCATGAAATTGGTATTTTTATTTAAAAATAAATTATCTTTAAGTTGTTCTTAAACAACAGTTAATTTATTTTTTACTCTATGAAACTTAGTAGAATTAATTAATAATTTCATTTTTTTATACTACATATTTTTTAAAAGTCATAAATGATACTTTTGTGTTTAACATTGCTTTTATTTTCTTCCCTGTTTGTGGTTATAAAATATCTAATTGCATCCAATGTGTGTTTTTTTTTATTATTATTATTCTGAAGAAAGAGTGAAGAGTTAGAATTATTCCTGCCGGAAGAGTAATAAAGTCAGGTGTGTCAAACTGGCGGACCGAGGGCCGCATGTGGGGGCCTTTACATTCATCTTGGCGTTCCTCACAAAAAGTTTCTATAGCCGTAGTATATCGAGAATTTTGTCTATGTTGGTAATGAAAATTATTAAAAACAGTGAGATTTTGTTTTTCAATTGTTATTTAGATTGTCTAACTCAATGTTTTTTGGTTTGGAATATCAGCGACTATTTCTAACTTCCGGTTAATCATGTGATCATCCTTGACAACTAAATAAATAGCAAATGTAAAGTGAAAATGTTCGTAATTTTATAATATTTTGCCTTGTCGAATTCTACTACATCTCGTAAAAAGAGAAAATTATCTGAAGAAGGACGTGTGTTCCGAAAAAAGTGGGAATTACAGTACTTTTGTACCACTGTTAATGGAAAGATAAATTGTTTGATTTGCAACCACTGCATTGCGACGCCAAAAGAATATAATGTGAAAAGACATTATGAAACAAATCATTGATCTTATGATAAATATGAAGGAGATATGCATGTTTCAAAAGTGAGGGAATTCAAGGTTAAGTTCACACAGCAACAGAGTTGCTTTACAAAAATTCAGAAAGGCAACAATAGTTCCGTTACTGCAAACTTTGAACTCTGCAAAAAATGATTGCCATCAATGGAAAATCTTATAGTGAATGAGATTTCATAAAGCGATGTTTTGTAAAAACAGCTGAAATTGTATGTCCAGAGAAGTCACACTTATGAAGACATTTCATTAAGCTAAGCAGGAACGCTGTTGATGAACAGATTGATGAAATGGCAGGTGATTCGAGTCGACAGTTGAAGACTTTATCATCAAGTTTTGAACATTTTTCTATTGCTCTATGAGACCGTTGACATAGCTGGAATAGCACAGGGCTCGTGACAATGGATTTCAAATTTATGAAGAACTACTTGAACTGGTCCCAATGCATGATACTATAACAAGCCAGGACATTTTTGAGAAAGTTAAACAGCTTCTCCATGAGTATGGCCTTGATTTGTGTAAACTTGTGTGTTTATCTACTGATAGTTCTGCCAATATGGTTGGGAGACATAATGGTGTTGATGCCAAGTTCGGTACAAAAATAGAAAACATGTAGCCATATTCAACATTCAAACATTTTCACTGTATAATTCATCAATAGAACTTATGTCCTAAGATTTTAAAATTAGATCATGTGCTGAGTTTTGTCACAAAAACAATGATCTCTATCCAGGTCGTGCTCTGCATCACCGTCAGTTTAGCCAGTTATTGGAAGACGTGAATAATCAGTTCATAAATGTCTCATTCTACACAGAAGTTCGGTGTGTTTCATGTCACAAGGTACTGAAAAGATTTTTTTTATTGCGACACGAAATTATGTTTTTGGAGATGAAAGGTCAAAGCACAGATGAATTGAAAGATAAAATCTGGCTCCAAGATCTAGCTTTTTCAGTGGATATTACTGACCAATTAAATGGTCTTAATTACAAGGTAAAAATAAGCTCATCACTCAGTTATGATGATATCAAGTGTTTCATTGCAAAATTAGCGTTATTGAAGTCCCATTTGCCACACGAAAACTTGATTCATTTTTGTATGTGCAAGGAGTTGAAAAAAAACTACCAATACTGAGTCTGTAGCTATCTTTGCTAAGTACGATAATTATCTGGAATTGCTGTCAAAGGATTTTCAGAGAAGATTGTGATTTTTAATCTTGTGAAGATCAGTTTGCATTATTCTCAGCACCATTCACTTTTGATGTTGCTCAGGCAGAGGAAAGTCTACAGATAGACCTACTGGAAATGCAGACTGACTCAACGCTCAAGGAAAAGTACCTAGAAGTAGCGGTACCCCGTACCCGGACTTTTTTCATACCTTCCTCAAATATTTAAGAACTTCAGAAAGTTTGCCACAAAGATTATGGCGATGTTTAGTTCCACATATGTTTGTGAGCAGTTATTTTCGTTTATGAAGGCCACAAAAACGTCTCACAGAACCAGATTAATTGATGAACATGTCATCTTTGATCAAAGCAGGATCTACACAGACATTCCAACTTGATATATCGAAAATAGTTTGTCTAAAGCGAGTCATCAGGACAACACCTTGTATTGTAAGTATTTGGTATTTAAAGTTTAGTTACTACTAGCTGTGAAGACTGTAAGGAGGTGAGGCCCTCGAGGCTGCATATATAGCCGATGCGGCCCTCCATATGCCCCAAGTTTGACATGCCTGAAGTAGTCAAGGCAGTAATTAAAGATAATTTACTTTTTGAACATCCATACAAAATTTCTAACAGTTGCTAAAATGAAAACAATTTGTTTTTAGACGTTTCACGCGAAAATGGCATTTGATTAAACTTTACATTTTTCGTTTCTTCAAATATATATTTACTCTTTAGTCTTTATTTAATAAAAAAAACTCTTACGAACAGCAACGAGATGAATTTAAATTTTAAAACACGTAATTCTTTCTTTAGAATATATATGAATATTAAGTAAATTTAATTAATATCTCTAGTCTGTCCAATCCAATCTAAAAAAAAATAACTTGTTTTAAATAAAAAGATAATGTTTCTTTAAAAATTGATTTTTTTTGTTGAGGTTTATTGATTTATTTTTAATGTTCGAGACGAATTTTTCGTATGTTCAGTTTACACTTGATTGCAAAAGTTTTTTTTTTTTTTTTTTTTTTTTTTTACACGCACTTTACTTCTGTAAAAAAATTCCACAAACACTTAAAAAAAAGTACACACGATATCGAAAAAAAGTGTGTAGTAAGGACTGTAAGGTGGTGAATCAGACCATCAAAAATATTTCCAGAGTTTTCTAATAAAAATAAAATAACCTAGTTTTATACATTTGAATTCATTCATTGATTATCCTTTGAATTGTATAATATTATTATACAATTCAAAGGATAATCAATGAAAATATTATACAATTCAAAGGATAATCAATGAAAAGCGAAAATGCGCTACCCAGGGAATTATTATAATAATAATTCCCTGGGTAGCGCATTTTCGCTTTTATTTCCGAAAAAAACAAAAAAAAAACGCATCCATTTTTTGGGCGGTTACACATTTTAAAAAATTATTTTTTAAAGTTCGCAAATTGATCAAAAATATTTTTTTTAATGTATCAGTTTTCATATACCAATTATACAAGAAAAAAAAAGAGTATTAAATTGATTTTAAAAGAAAAAAGCGGGACCTTAAAAACAATAAATTAAAACAAAAAAAAAACATATCTGGTTGGTAGAAAGTTAAAAGTGCAATCAAATTAAGAAGTTCGGTAAAAAAAAAAAATACTACAAAAAATAAATAAATAAAACAAAATCAGGACACTTGCCAAATTCAATATTGATTTCTGTGGCTACCTACTGGGGAAAATCATTTTTAAGTTTTGTAAATAATACGAAGTGATTTCTAGTAGATTCATAGTGATTTTTTGTTTGTTTGCATATTGAACTAATCATTATTACCATAATTATAATTTATGCAGATTTAAACAATTTGTTATGCTAGTTTTTAATTTACGGAAGAAAAAAAATTAAAATATTTTTCTTCTTGTTGGCATTTGCTTTCTTTTTTTTCTTTAAATAAAATGAAAGTGGATTAGCTAAAGAAGAAAAATTGTTAAATACATAGAAAAATTTAATTAAATTCAACCCTGTAAGAATAACTAAGAAAAGAAAAAAGGTATTTCTGAATTGTATGGTCACGTACGTAACAGAATGTAACACAAAAATAAAATGAAGTTTTAGTGTACGATATTGGAACCCGTTTAAAAATTGCTTTAGACTTCTCCCTATCCAACCACTTCGGCACTTCACCTATTGGGGACGCCTCAATACTAAAAGAGTAAACATTTCTGCTGTCGGTCCAGACAAAATATTTGCGAATCAAAAGTTCAAAAGATCGTGACAGTTTTTTTTTTTTTTTTTTTAAAGAGATTAAGAAAAATTTGACGTGAAAGTGAAAAAAACAAAGAAATTTTAAAATAAGTAAATGTAAAAATTGATACATTCGTATTTTTAACTGTACAAATTACCAAAATATCGTGTTATAATTTTAAAACGCTGCAATTTAATTAAATCCAACCAAGTGTAGTAGGTAATATACCACCTTAGGAAGGTTTCTATTTTTTAATAAACAAAAAAAAAAAAAACACACACACACACACACACATATCAATTAGAAACACTTTTTACTTTTACCTTGTAGTCTCCTTCAGTTTCTTCATTTTTGTAGGCAGATTCCAAAAATTCTTCATCAGCGTCAATAAATAAAAGATCGCTAGACTGACTAAAAAGTAACAACCCCTTCATCCTGACATTAAAACATTTCCACCAAGCGAAACATTCATCGTCTGCCACCTTTAAACCAGTCACGAGTCATGTTGATGACACCGGCTCAACAATTTCCGGTTATGACGGTCTCAACATTCAACAGGTTCCTGCTTAGAAAAGTTTCTCGTAAAGATTGTTTTTTTTTTTCGTATTGATAAAAACGGCTTATTTTTAATTTTAAGGTGTGCTGAAAAGGTCTCGGACCAATCAAGAAGTGATTAAAAAAATAAAAATAATAATTGTTATGCTTTAATTTAAATGATTTGGTCAGATTTTGTGAAAAATGAGTCCGGCCGAGAACTTTTCACTCAGTACTTCCTGTTCGTACGTAAATTTAAGAAAATTAATGCAAATAAACACCCGAGTTCGCTATTTATAAAAAAAACTAACACAATTTTGTTTTTTGCAACTTAAACGTAATAGCAATGTTTCAAAATAGATATTGTATTGTAAAAGTGCTTGATTCCACTGGTGAAGTTGAATTAAAAAGAATAAAAACTTGTAATTGAAATTCCAACGGAATTTATTGTTAAAAGTAAAACAGAACAGGTATATTTCGGAAAGCTTTTGCAATCCTTGATCGCTCTTAGTAGTCTTCTTGAGAAAGAAAGAAATAAACTGTGTCTAAGCTACATTGTATACGTTAAATTCAAATTAACAAAAAAAAATTCGATCGAATTGAATTCGCGAGACATGCAAAAATCTGAAAGCGTGAGAGTTGCTAAAAGAAAGAAATGTAATTTCCAAACCAGAGTAGAAAAAATAGTTTAATAAAATAAATTATCCGTTGGAATTACAAGTTATTTATTTTTAGATATTGTATATAATTGTTCACCAATTAAATATGTCGTATCGTAATGTCTCAAAAAATGTTTGAATAAACAATGCCTTTTTAATGCAGAGCACAAGTTAAAAAAATAATAGGAATCATATTTTTTGTTTCTTAGAACGAACTGGTAAAAAGAAATTTACTTTTCTAACTACTTGTACTTCTTTTAGAGTATTAGTCAGTTATAATTTGCTTAATTAAACGCTCGTCTTCCAGACAACACCGCGAGTGCAGCGAGTTTCTCTGAAAATGCCACTCACTAAATGGCATTCTGCCAAATTAAGCTGAGGAAATTATTTACTAATTTAAACGACAATTTCAGGGAATTTCAATAGCAGTCAATCGTGGTAATACGCTCGCCATATAACTAAAACTAAAGGATATATCAGAATCATGTCTAAAAGTCACAGGAAAAATACTAATAGTCACAATTTTGGCTAGGGAAAAAAGTTGTAAACTGATTTTTGAGAGTAACATGTTTGGTATGAAAACGCACTTGTAGCAGATTTTTGAACCACGTTTATTACTACCAATGCCCAATAATCTCAATGGCGTAAAAAAAATATATTTTTCTCACTAAATGTGGCGAATAAAGAAAACAGCAACCAGCGAGTAAATTCAAGCTCTCCCAACTGGTATTCCAACCTCGAGTCGTTCCTTCTTGAGTTCTGTCTCAAAATACAATAAATATGTAATACAATAAATGTGGCACAAGGCCAAAAAAGGGGGTTGGGGGAAAAGGACAGTCATCATTTGTCTTAATTTAAACTTAGCTAGCCACAACCACTGACCCAAACATATGAAACAATAATCCTGCCACCAAAACGCCACATTCATAATTACCTTTCTTACTACAACCACCAAAATACCTCATTGTCTCAATGAGAATCCTAATTAACCCCATATGTACAAATAATGTCTGGTGAGGTGGGGGGATAAAATATAACAAGTAAAAACAACCCCAATGAATATATACAATATGACATAAAATTATTTACATGAAACTAAATAAAATCATGTTAGTAATAAAACCCCCCACAAACCCTAAATGTGGCGGTAAAATCAATGAACTGGACGAAATCGACAAGGGACTTTAGAACTATACAAAAAACAATCATCCCTCTCAACCATACACACAGGCCCGCACCGATTCAGACACAACAAATACGAAAAAACACACCCTCGAAACGAAAGGCGTCCCGCATCCACCAGAGAACTGAAAATACTGACCACCTAACGAGGGATGGGATGGGGAGTTAAACTAAACCAAAAGAAAAGGACAGAAAAAAAGGGGCCAATGAGCAAATACACCGTAGCTAAGTTTACAAAAAAAGAAGGGAAACTAAAAATTCAAAACGAAAAACCTACTCTAACCTAACACCAGGGATGGGTTGCCCAAGTTCAACCCAGGAAAACAATATCTTGATGCCTAACCGACATCAAAATGCCACTCAAGGCCAGCCCCTTTTACTCGGCACATACGCGCAAGATTCACCCACCTTTTGCCAAATTCTGATGAGGTGAGCCGTTTTTCCGTCCTGATCTTGACTTTAAGCTGATGCTTAAAGAACAAGATCAGTTGGGAAGAAGTGAACTCGCCCTCAAAGAATTCCTTCTGACATGTCGTCCAAATCATGACTCTCATAGCACCTAGTAAGCAACAGAACACAGTGTTCAGCCTTCGTCATCTGTGGCACCACATTGCTACAAACAGAACTGGCTTCAAGGACAAAAAACTTTCCCTGCAGCATGCGAACCATGAGGCCTTCAAAAAACCTGCACAACGGCACTACCGCCTTGCACTGAAAGAAGGCGTGACCAATGGTCTCGACTTCCCCCATACAGCGACGACAGTTTGGATATTTCTCCAAGCCTGCTGAACAAAGTCTCTTGCTGACCCAGACGGCTTCACGAATCACCAGCCAGGTGAGTGATGTCTCATCATTATTGAGGCATTTCAACCCAGGCGTCCAAGGCCATATTGAGAGAGCCTCCTGCTTCGTAAGACCGAGCTCGCCAATCAAATCATCTTGAACGGCCCCCCTAACTAACACTTGATACAATGCCTTACGAGACAACGCCTGGGCGTTGGAGAGGCCATCCGAAGCCCGTAAGAGGAGCTTCAGAGCACGACGACATTCGCGATAGAAGGAGCACTCGGCTCGCGGTGTACGGCCGGCCTTTTCCTCGCACGAGTGCACACTTTTCAGGGACGGGAAATGTTTACGGACGTCTTCTTTCCAAAAGGCACCCTCCTCATCCGATCCGCGACACATTTGGTCTAGAAAGGTGATGCGAAGCATATGTTGACGAATCTCAATGCTAGGCATACCCAGGCCGCCCTCAGAGGGATGAAGGCAACAGATCTCGCGAGATACCATAGGGGTCTTGTCTCTCCACAAGAAAGAGAACAAGGTCCGTACTAATAAAATTAGTCTGGCATACGGGAGTGGAAGTACAGAGAGTCGGTACAGGAGTATCGGATAGATGTGTGAAACACATACTTCCGCACTTCCCTTCAGGGAAAGTCTCCTCCGAGACCACAGATTAACCGCGATCTCGGCCTTCCCTTGCACCTCCGACCAATTGATTTCCAACTGGAGATCAGGACCGAACCAGACGCCGAGTATCTTGATCGGCCCATCCGTCCAGAGGAAAGGTCCGGGAAGAGAACTCCCTTCCACGCACCCAACCGCAAGCCAACAGACTTATCGCGGTTGATCTTGGCCCCTGTCACCATCTCATAGCCACTGATCTCTTTGCTGACTTCGTCAATCTCGGCTCTGCTCGACACAAGAACCGAAACGTCGTCAGCATAGGCAGAATACCTAGCTGAGGTGGTAGCCCCAGGCAGGGCATTTCCGCGCAGGACCGGATTTGCCTTTAACTTGCGAAGGAATGGTTCCAACGCAAGAACGTAAAGCAAAGGCGAGAGCGGACAACCTTGAAGAATGGAACGAGACAATACGAAAGGCTTCTATCTTACCCCATTCACTTCCACCAGCGCACTGGGGGTCGCATACAAATGTCGGATCCAGGAGCGAAAGTCGGCTCCGAAACCGGCCGCCGAAAGGACAGCCCCCAGAAACCGATGGTCAACCCTATCGAAGGCCTTGGACTGATCTAAATTAATCAGCGCGGCTTCACTGTCGACTTGTTCTAAGATCAAGCGTACCATATGAAGGTTATCCTGAATAGTCCTGCCCTTCACAGTACAAGTCTGTTCGGGGCCAATCAGACAAGACAGGACAAGCTGCAAACGGTTGGCTAAGATCTTCGCCAAAATCTTTAACTCAGTTTTTAACATGGTTAAAGGTCCAAAGTTCCCTAACCCATCCCCACCGTTCTTGTCCTTACGCAGCAACATGATCACACACCTGGTGAAGCGCTGAGGTATAGACCCCTGCTTCATCCAGTGGTTGAAAATCAGTTCCAGCAAAGGAACAAAAACGGGCGACTGCCTCAAATAAACTTCGTAGGGAAGACCTAGTCCTGGAGATTTATCCAGGCCAACCTGCTTCAGCGCTTCCCAGATTTCCGACTTTGTAATGGGACCCTCGCACCTAGCTGCTTCAGCTGCCTCAAGGCAGGGAAAGTCAGCTAAATAGGCGTCGAACTGAGCAGAGCTCAGACCGGGCTCCCTGGTGAAAAGATCCTGAAAGTAATCCTGAAAGGCCTCGCATATGCCCGCGTTTGTAGTCACGGTCCGCTTATCAGGCAATGTGACGTACGCTATATGTCGCCTAGACGCGTTCCGATTCTCCTCTGCACGCAGTTCAGCGGCCATGTTCGTCGCCTCAGAAGACATTCTTTTTAGCCTAGCCCTAACTACCAGAGCTTGATCCTTCTTGATAAGCAAGGAGGACAACTCTGCCTTAGCTAAGGCTATATCCCCACTAACACGGGATTTCACGGCCCGATCAACCTTTTCTTCTAAAGCCGTTTGCGCCGCTAATCTATCTAGATTGAGTCGACGACTAAAATCGGCAGCAAACGTTCTAATTATGCATTTTAATTTATCCCACCAGGCGTTTCCCACAACCGCCCCCGTCAATTCCCTCTGAATCATTAGTAGCAGCTGGTCCCGGAAATCCTGCTCACCAAATAATGAGCAGTTAAATTTCCAGTAACCAGCCATTCTAACCTTACG